GGACACAGCTTCTTCTTCTTCTTCTTCTTCTTCTTCGGGGTTTAACGGCAGCTGGCATCCTTGTACATGCAGTGCTGCCATTTTCTGTTTCAGTCCGTTATTACACTCTTAAATCCTGCTACTTATTCCTGCGTCTTTTGTGATCTTACAAAGCTTCAAAGGTCGCGTCGACTATTAAATCAGTCGTCGACGATTTTGATAGTCGACGTAATCGTGACTAGTCGACTAATCGTGGCAGCCCTAGTGTGTTGCAGTGTTTACTGTTAGCTCCATCTCTGATTTATTCTGCTCAGCTCAGTGGGCAAGAATATCAGCAGTGCATAGAAACCTCAGGTCAACTCGAGTTTTGCAGGTGTAATTGCAGAGCTATGCAGAAATGTAGCACATAATAAAGCCGGATGGATTGCAAATCATTTTCATTTGGATTTTATAATTACCATAAAAGTTCTTTCCTTTAATCTGAAGTCCTTTAGTTTCATATTTCTTTTGTTATTAGATTCTTAATAACACAAATGGCAAGTTACACAAAGGAAAAGTTGCAAATGTAGTTGTTTTCGATAAGTACTCTTACTTTGAAAGACAAGTGAAAAATACACAGTGCCTTGCAAACAGCAGGTTACATATTTATTTTTGTTGTCTTCCACATATTGACACAGTTCCACAGACCAATCAACACCTAATTCTCACTCTACATCCTCTGTTTTTCTCAGAACCTTGCTAATTGGATGTCACCCTTGTGTTGTTGTGTGTGTGCGCCTGTGAGCGTGCGCTCCTATGCGTTTAAGCAGCTCTCCTGTGGCAGGGTCAGGGCTGCGCTTGTCAACAAACCTCAGCAATTAGCTTTGACTCGGGGCTGTTTCTTAGCTCGCAGACAACAATTCAAAACCTCCGACAGAAATAACACGTAACCTCGAGGGAGCATCTGTCAGTCACAACGCTGCCCTGTACTGCTGAAGCTACGGCATATTCACTTATTTAAAACCCATGTTTGGTCAGTTTCCAAGGGAAGTCTGGCAACAGCTGATGTTCCCTTTGACCTTATTCAGCGTGTAAAGTAATAGCAGCCAAAAGCCAAATCCACCGGGACACTGAAAGTCAACTCGGATTATAAGTAATGTATTTTTAATTTTTGTTTAAACATTTTTACTTTACTGTGCATTTTAGCGTTACGTATGACACTCGAGCGGAACATTAAGCTTGAAGTCTTGTGCTGCATTCAAATGATGGACATGTTAGTAGGAAATATGACATTCCAAACCACCAATCTTCTGCTCATATTGTTACGACTTAAATAATTCCACCCTTCCAAAGTTTGGCGCATGCCGCTTGCTGCAATCTGATACAAGCTTTTCATGGGAATGCAAATTAAGACTTGAATGCATATTTTGGGGTTTAAAAAAATACTCTTGGGGACTTTTCTTGAACAGCATTTATTCCTGACAGTTCCTTCTGAAAGCTTGAGGCGTGTTTGCTAGTTAAGTGTTTTTTTAGCAGCTACACTCTTGCAACGTTTGTGTCTTATTGGTGTACCCCGCAGCAAGCGTTTGTTTTTGTACTGAAAAATGTTTATTACTATCTACTCATCTGCATATGGATGTATTCACTGTAAGCAAATGGTCCCGTACATGCGCAATTTGTATGCCGTGTAGAAAACAATGCAATGCAAATACTTCCAGTGACTGTTTCTGGGTTTCAATAATTTAAATTATGCGAAAAACTTTGAGGTCCCTGCAGGCTTTTTTAGGCGTCAAAGACTGGGAGCTTAATGCCATAGAATAATAATAATGCAGAAAAGCGTCAGGGATAATGGGCGAATGTGATTAACGATCTGCCCAAAATGGCTTTAGCGGCAGATATTTGTATGTCTCAACAGGTTTTATGATTGCTGCTGTTTTTTGTCAGATATCCCAGCGCTGTACGGCTTTTATTTTTGCAATGCTAATTGCTGCAGATTATTTCTACTTTGAGCGATATCAGGTAAGCTCAGCCTGAACACATTTTTAGTGCCCGCTGCAGCTGAACCGATTACCATGTAATAACAGCCACATGGGCTGAAAAAGCACATGGGGTTGAGAGCTCTTCTTCTGTGGTGCCCTCGGGGAGTAGCCCGGGGAGGCAGGGAGTTTGCTGACTCAGCCCTTGTGGCCTGAACTGAGCTTTAATGAGGGAGCAGCAGACTACACTCACAGGTTTATATAGATTTGTACACATAAAACACACAATTACAAACACACAGCACACACTCCGTTTTCTCATGAGTCTCACTAAAGCGCACACACGCTCGCACCTGAGCACACACACCTGTTTTACTTGTCAGTCCACTATTTTCACCTCTTCTTCTTTCTTTTCTGTCTTTATTCGCACTTTCATTACTTCTGCAGCGCACACATAGCCTCGCCCTTTGACCTTTGTAATCCTCATTAACGTGCGCTCACATTAGCCTCTGGCTGTAGCGAGCTGTAATTTGAAGTAAATGTGTTTGCGTTTATGTAAAGGGACTAATGGGGAAAAATGAGTGTTGAGGTCTGTAAATGTTTTTAAGTGTGTGTGTGTGTGTTTGTGTGTGTGCCCTGGAGAGTGTGTTTCTCTCACCAGGGGAGCCTGTCCAGCAAGCTATAAAACTCCACAGCTCTCAGGCTAAATGTGGCTGAAATGAAGGTTTAATGTGCTGGAAAAATGGTCGTTGGATTTGAATGGTGTGTGTGTGTGTTTTAATGGATTCTGTGGGTGTCTTTGTGTCTCTAGATGTAATTGTGTGTGTATCAATGCATTTCTTTTTATTTGTGTGTGTGTGTGTGTGTGTGTGTGTGTGTGTGTGTGTGTGTGTGTGTGTGTGTGTGTGTGTGTGTGAGAGAGAGATTTAGAGAACGTGATGTATTTTAATTTGCACTGTATGCAGCCTGAATGTCTTGAAGTGTTAATATTTTGTTCTTACAGTTTCTTTTCATCTTTAGTGTGATGAAGATGATGTTTGGACTTTGATGTTACTTGTGAGAATCATTGAAGCAATAGATGCACAACGACTCCACCATGGAATTGGTTTCATTTATTTTAGTCATACGTTACATACAAATATACTACTTTTAAAAGAACCCTCCAGTCATTTTGTACCGTACGCTCATAAACGGCGAGGTGTGACCCTTTAGTTCCCCGTCTATGCCCATAAAAAAGTCAAAAACTGCATGGAATAGAAATTTGGCTGATCTTCTTTGGTCATTTCTCCAGTGGCGCCCCTCGACCTTGGTTTGAGTGGCGGCTGTTTTTTTAAATCGCTGCTTGGATGTCCCGGTGTGACCACTTGCACTTGAGCGCTTGCGATGGACTCTTGTCATCGCTGATCAGAATTGGGTCAGTTTGAAACAGAATTTCTCTCTTGGTTGCCCGTAGTGAAATTAGACCGTGTTTCTGCACGGTGTAAGATCAGAACTTCCTGAGATTAGTATAAAAGATTTTCTCCTCTGACTGCAGTCGAAGCGAGGCTTCTTATGTAGACACCTTCGCTTGTAGTGATTGTTTTGCTTTCATACTCCTGAGTGTTACCTTACTGATTAGCTCTAGCCCATGATATTAAAAGCAGTATTCATGATGCATATGCAACTAAAATTGTTGATTAAAGAACTGCTTGCTTCGAAGAAGTGAAGTGCTTCTCCTTTTGAATTCCCTCCTCTTATAAATGTTAAACTGGCTTCATTTGAAACTCTTCCTCTAAGAGGAAAATCTATTTCTGACGCTAAATAAAATCGATAAACCTGGAAACCCTTATTACTGATCTTCAAAGAGCCCTTGCAAAAACATATCTTTTTTTCACACACAGCATGGTATTTTAAAAATATATATATTTTCCTTGAGGTGAAATTAGAATGTTGTCTGTGGCTAGCTGCTTTTGGTCAGTTTTTCTTTCAAGTTCAGGCGTGTCCTTTGGTTAGGATCATGTCAATAAACCCAGATAAAGTGAAGTGATGTCTTGAAGATGTTTGAGCGGTTGAGCACGTGTGCTAGTTTTGAATGTGGTTAATATTTTGTGCATTAGGGGCAAACCTTATCACAGTCGTGCTTCTGCATCAGATCTCACCTCGAGGGACGCTCGGATCACATCCCTTGAATTGGCACGTGTTGGATGGATTTTTCATTTTCTCCTCAGCTAACTGAAGCCAGCTGAGCACAGAGTCGCAGAGAGATGGCATGAATGTAATCTTTAATCTAATAAAGGGACTCTGCAGAGGCTGGAATTAATCAGATCTGTGAGGTCTTTGAACATAAAGACGTGGAGTGAAAGACGAAGCTTTTTGAGTGGAGGGAGAATATGATTGGACATAATGAGTGTGTCTCTGTCATAGAATAAAATAGGGGGGGGGGTCTAAATCACCTCAATTTTCCTTTGGACTTTATGTGCGGTCCCCGTGCATTTGAGCCGAGAAGGACCACCATGTCTTCTATTTATCTGTGCATGTTTTCAGGGAAGCCACTTCTACATTTATAGAACACCAGCTATGATTTGGACTTCCTGATTACACCCATTAGGACTGATTTTTGAGCCAGTGTGGTTCAGTTGGTGTTAATGCCTACCTTCAAAAATCACACAGTGTGCTGTGTTTTAATTATTCTTATTTGCCTCTTCCTGGATTAAATGGATTAAAATCAGATTTGCAGATAATGAAGTCTCTCCTTTCCCGTGTAGTTTTAAATATGGGGGGAAAAGCATGAATGCTGCTTAATTTCAAGTCTAAGGGAAAATGAGTGGGTATCGCTACAAAAGAGTCGTTCATCATTATCATCTTCTTCTTTTTAGGTGTTTATCATTTTTTGTTTCCTGTCATTGCACCTTCTTTGTAATTGTTCTCTATATCCAGATTACAGCTAAGCATTGTCATTCCATAAAGTTAAAAAATATATATTTTTCCTGTGCTATATTACTTCGATACTGCGGTGTAACATTAAGCTGCATATTTCTGAAATCTGACCTTTTGTGCTCTCTCCTCTGTTTTTCCTTTTTCCTGCAGTTAATAGCTATATATGATGAACAGGAACCCCATCATGGTGGTGATGGCACCAGTGCCAGCTCCACAGGCACCCAGAGCCCCGACCTGTTTGCTGCAGACCTCAGCGCAGGCAGTGGAGCCTCTGCTTTCCAGCCTTACCAGGCCGCCAGCGAGATCGAGGTCACGCCTTCGGCCCTGCGCACCAGTAAGTCGCGAGACTGGAGAACACGCGTTTCTGGATCAAATACCATTAGGGTTATTAGCACAGGCATGCATTATTTTGACAGATGGATCATTACCCTAAAGATACAATCAGGAACTGCAACATTGGCTGATTAATATTTAATTCAGTTCGTCTTATATTCCTCACGTTATCATCTTCATTGGAGTCAAATGTCATCAACCACAGCAGTATAGAGAAAACACAACAAATCACCTTATCACGTCCCAGCCGTACCGTCGCCCTGTTCATAAATTTTGTTAATTGGACAGGAGGTGCCTTTTTTATTTTTTATTTTCAGACACAGATAGCCGTTTGATCCCCGGCCAAAGTGGCTAATTGGTTCTATTCGCTGCCTCCTAAATCAAATGTGACGCTGAGGCCATTCACCTCTGCAGTTTCGCTGGCCAAGTCGCTTCTTCTACTGCAATTACTCTGAGTTTGGATGGGAAAGTGACTCGTGTAGGTGATTTGTCAATTCGGATCAAGCGAGATCTTTTGCACAGAAGCAAGCAAACATGTACACGCAAATATACAGAAAGACAACCGTCACCACCCGTCCATATTTCTATCAGACTACCTAAAGTGAAAGAAGTGTTCCTTCTATTTGTATTAGAATAATTAATAATTATGGTTTTATGGGCGCCAGTTTAGCTCAGTACGTTGAGCGGGCGACCACATGCCATGCAGCTGAGAGCAGCTGGCCCGGGTTAGCGTAGAGTCCGACCTGCAGCCCTTTGCCGCCAGTGTTGCCAACTTAGCGACTTTGTCGCTATATTTAGCGATTTTTCAGACCCCCTTAGCGACTTTTTTTTTTTTCTAAAAAAGCGACTAGCGACAAATCTGGCGACTTTTTCTGGTGTTATTGGAGACTTATTTATGACGACTTTTTGACGTGAAAGCGGGTATCGCTTTTACTCTCAACAAGCAGCCCGTTCCAAAGCGCTCACGGGCGGAGGATAGTCCTCCCCCAGCTGCTATCAGGGCAGAAGATGTTCACACCTATGCGTCCGAACTGCAAATGAATCGCGCATGAGCGAAGCCGCTGCTCCCGCACTGACTGTAACGCAGACAGTTCTTCTTTTACTGTTATGCTGTTTTGTGGATCAGGTTTACAACTACTTATAAACACACACACAGTGTAACTCCACCAGAGTGCCTATTTCGGGCCACTTTTGCCGGTCCAAGCCCAGATAAAGGAGCAGGGTTGGAATTGTGACATTACAAAAAGCAATAATTGCTAAAATAAATTTAATTTGTAGTTCTAAATAAATTCTAAATGCATTTAGGACATTTTTTACTCTGTCTCTTCCCTGATGTTATTTCTCTCTCCAACAACGTAGGTTACAATTATATTAGCATGACCAATTATGCAAATTAGGCGATGACGTCATTTAGCGACTTCTAGCGACTTTTAGGACAGCCAATAGCGATTTTCCTTGCTGAGGAGTTGGCAACACTGTTTGCCGCATGTCTGCCCCTGCTTTCCTGTCCTCTCTTCACCGTCTGTTGAATACAGTTGATATAAAAAAAAATATGGTTTTATTAATATAAAATTGAATAACAAAAATAGAGAAAATCATAAATTCAAAATATTTTTTTGGTCCAAAAGAAATGCGTCTAATTCATACCAAGTTTTTTTTTTTTTTTTTTTTTTTTAAATGAATAGGATGCAGACAAAAAGATATTAAAGTAAATCTATAGTTACAGACTGTATTAAAACAAATCGAAGGCTCATGTTTGCCTTTCTTTTTCTCTTTGTATTTATTTGTTTGTTGGTGCTGCGTTTTTGTGGTCTCTTTTGGAGGCGGGTAGTTGTCAGCTAATGCTAATGCTAGCTAGCTAGCTCAGTCTTATTTAGACAGAGAATTAGCGTGTTAGCATGTAGTGATCACAGCAGCACTGTAAAGTAGGCTCCTGCACTAAACTAGAAGTTTGATTAAGATTTTTCACTTTTAGCATAGAGCTTGTTTACCTGTAGACTGGATGTGTCGAGCACCTTTATGTGTAGTTATCAGAAAGAGTAAAAGTTAAAAGGAGTTTTTTTCATTACAATCTTTTAATTAGCACCAAAGCCCTCTACTGTCTTATTCACTAACGACCTTTGAAATAGCATTCACTGACAGAGACAGCACAATTTTCCTTTTCTCTTGGTCTCAAACACACACACACACACACACACACACACACACACACACACACACACACACACACACACAGTGTGACGGAGGTCACTTTAGCCCTAATTGCGTTTCTGGATGAGAATGCTGATTGTGAATTTTCAGTAAGAAATTGACATCTCTGCTACAATCACACCTGCCAGATACGTCCAATTTAACTTTCTTCATAATAAATTCTAACCCTGCTTAATTGACGACTCAGAATCTCATCAGCTGAATTTTAATGGGTTTTAAGAAAAATGTCTGACATGGAAGAGAAAGAATTCGATTATTTTTTTCATAAGCACCCTAATGAGACTAGCTTTCAATCACTGATTTATGTTGGAGAGAAGAGGAGATGAGAAGCGCTGGACTCTGTGGGGCTTTGCCAGTTTTCTTGTTCGGCCCAGGAGCTTAAAAGAAAAATGATTAAGCTTATTAGACAGAGAGCTCTATCGAAATTCACAAATGGATTGATGTTATTTTCTTGGCTTTGTTAAATTGAAAAACCTCTGCAGATAAGAAAATAATAATTAAGGGACAATACTACTGTTGTGGATGTGTGAGGCTTTCAGATGCCAACTTGAAAAAGATTGTATTTTTGAACATAGCAAAAAAAACTGAGCTTGGTGTACCCTGTGTGATTTTGCGCTATTCCACATGAGAGATGATCAAAGTGAAATAATTGTGATGATTTCTTTAGGTTTTTTTTCTCCAGAGCAGTAGTCTTTTGTTGCACAGTGATGGTGAAAGTTGGCTGTTGCATCTTGTCTTGTGATCAGAGATGGCCTGGGATCAAATGAAGGTTGGCCATCTCACAGCGTGATTGCTGCTTTGACCCGTGTCAACTAACAAAACAACAAAAATTGGGCATAAAATGATTTCACTCCATATCACACTGGTGCAAATGGTAAAAATCCCCAAAACAACCTGATATGAATAGACGGAGGTAAAAACAGAGCTCTGTTTGTGTCGGGGATGAAGAAGCATCATTTGTTTTGTGTGAACTAGCTGTAATGAAGACCAGCAAAAAAAAATTATTTGAGGAACTTTTTGCATACATCATACATTTGACATACATCAAAGTACGCTGTATGGGGACCGTAATCATGGCTTAGAGCAGTGGTCCCCAACCCCCGGGGACCGGTACCGATCCGCAAGAGTTGAGGCTCAGGTGTGAAATTTATGGTTTTCGGGTTTTTTATCGTTAACTCAGTTTCCCTGGGTCTTTTCCCGTGTTGTAGTTGTGTGTCTTATTTTGAAAGAAATATTTACCCATTACCATAGCGACCAGAGAGCATTAAGGGGCAGAGAGGAGGATGTTACTCTCAATGTTGTTGACGCATTTCAAGAGGACGCTGCTAATAAAGTTACACAATTACACAGTGAATTCATGTTTATTATTATATTTACAAAATACCACAGTTTTTGTCTTGATCATATTGTTTTATTTTATTATATTTATCCGCGACACTTTAAAGGCCGGTCCATGAAAATATTGTCTTACATTAAACTGGTCCCTGGGGCAAAAAAGTTTGGGACTGCAGCCTTAGAGTTCCCAAATCCCGTTTTTATGTGGGAATGTTATTGCCGAACTGCCCTGCATCCCTTAAATATTGCAATTACTTCTAAATGACATACCTGCTTTTAATAACTCCTCATTTAATTTGATTAGGTCTTGTACTCAAAGAGTTATGCAGACTTTGGTGTAATTTATTCTGTGTTTTGTTGCAGCTGCGTTCATGACATAGGTGCTGTCATTATGCACTTCTTTTTTTCTCACTTATGAGATGTCTGAAGTAGCGTGAAATTTGAGCTGGTGAACGGTATCTTAACCGGCACTCATTAACCAAGCTGTTGTGCTGTAGTTAGAATAATTGTTTTCTGATCACTGCATCTGACAAGATGAACAAAAGGTTAATGACTGCAGCTGTGCCGCGAGATCACAATGGCATTTAAGATGAGCGATGACAAAGAAGGGTAGCGACCTGTCTTTGTTTAAAGCATTGTGACTGCGTGAAAGCGCGAAGCTTTTTCCACAGCGCCGATGCAAATTCTATAGATGTGGGTTCGGGACACATTAGCCTTGACCGTGAATCGGTTCGAGGGAAGCACCCCTGCATCCTAATGCCTCCTGGGAGTTGCAGTTTCAGCTGTAGGTGTTGTTGAGACCTGTCAGGCAGCCCGCACTCTGTCCCCTCCTGAACTCCATCCCCCAGAGAGCCACTGCCTCCCACAGCTCAGAGCGATTCATATCCCACGCTCTGGATGACCCAGAAGAACCACCGAGCCAAGTACATGAGTGTACACATTTACACACTCTCATCAACCACTGTAGCTGTGGGCTCTAGTACTTCCAAACATAAACAACATTGGTCACTGATTTGTGCACATCCGAAATTAAAACTCATCATTAATGTGTATTCTTTACACAAGTTGAACACACACACAAAGATCCACTTAATGTGAACGCATCCTACTCTAAACAAAACTATTAGATGATCTCATGCGCAAACTCACCAGTTTGTCAGGAAACACAAATAAACAGGCACACTAACACACACACACACACAGACAAACGCAGTCAATCTAGTCTCACAATACACACACACACACACACACACACACACA